ATCCGGGTGTCGTTCTATTAGAGGTTTTACGGTATTAACACTTTCTGAATATTTTTCCCAAAATTAAAACTTTTGAAAAACACTACTTGTTATATTATTGTTTCCTAGAAATTACAAACTTGTGAAAAAAAATTAATTTTTAAATGGCTCGTTGATGTAGGATTTGTTTCAGTTTAAAAACCGGAAGTTTGAATCAGTCTCTCCGAAAATAGGAAGGGATCTGCCCTTGACGTCACTTTTTTCCATCTTCTGTTCTGTTTTTCTTGCTCTCTTTTCCGTTTCGAACCAATAAGCTGGCTCTTGTTGTCTGTCTCTGAATCTTGTTGTCTGTCTCTGAATCTCTTCGTCTTTTTCACTGTCTCAAGTTCTTTTTTTGCCCCGAAGGCAAAACACTTCACCCTCCCCCTACTCCTTCACCACTTCCACGAATAATTCTGAATCCCCACGTCATTCGAATGTATTCTCACCACTCCTCACGTCTTCTTCAATAACTCTAAATATTCCTTCACCACTGGAACAATGGGATTGCAGAGAGGAATGCCGTTGGCACAACTCGGTGAGCCGTTTGGCATCACACCGGCCGCCATCGAGAACGTGTCACCTGGCATCGACCAGTGCAAGGATCACCGAATTGATGTAAGTTCTTTTTTTTTTTTGGAAAACCTTGATAAATATAATGCAGAGCTAAAAATTCTTTAAAACATTTGGAACGAAAAATGTCTATTTCTGGAATCTTCCCCTTTTCACCTCGATTCTAAAATTGTCAAACAATAGAAATCTATTTCTTTTCGTTTCCAAAAAAGGATTTCTGTGTGTATGATCACACAAGTTTTGCTCTGAAAACTCTTTTGTATTTGCCCATATGCCACCACTTATTTGCTTCCCGCATCCTCTTTTTTTGGGGGGTCGACACCGCCTTTTATCCATCCAATTTCCGTTCGTTCTCATTTTCGTTTTTCTACCTGATGACTGTCGATTTCGAACTACCATTTCGAAACTTTCTGGAATCGAAAAGAAAACTTATTACGGTAGGCGGAAGATCTTCCGGTTTCGAATCTTAGAAACTACGGAAATAGAAAATCCTGTCTGGTTACCAGTTTGATCCCGATTTAGTAGTAAGACCCAAAAAGTAAATAAAGCGGTAGAAAGAAGAATACCTGGATAGATTTTAAATGCTGCTTTTCGTAAGGATAAAATTGTTTTTACTTCAAATAATGCATTCAAGTCAAACTATTTTTGAAACGATTTCTAATAATTTGAGTTCCCTCCTATTCAATTCAGCTGCTCTTTGTCAGATGGTAAGAAATCAAAAACGTCTTGGATATCTAGAAAATAGTCCAAATAAACAGAAAATTTGGTTGATGAAAAAAGAGTAGGTAAATTTAACCCTGCCAACCAGGTGCAAAAGCAGCCGAAAAATTCCAATTTGGTATTTACTTCTAATTAGTAGCAATTCTCAATTTTACTACTGATTAGCAGTACCAAATCAAATTCTCTCTTCTTGTTTCATTTTTAAAATCAATTTTTTTTCAATTTTTCGAAATTGTCAAATCACATAAGTTAATATCCCACAAAAATCAGGAGGTTTTCACTATTAGTTTCTGGGTCTGCCTAAAAAAGAAAAGTTCCTTGTTCATCCTAAAACGAAACTCTCAAAAAAACTATGACACCCGAATGGCATGCATATTGTTTTACTTCTTGGAATGAAGTTGTTATCGTGTAGTGCTCCTATTTTTGTTTCATGAAAAAAAGCTAAAACGAGTTCTATCTTTCTAATGCATGTCTTCTTATTGTCTGTTATAGGCATCCATGCGATCAGAGCCATCGGACTACTTCAGTGACACCACCAACACCTTCCATAGCAGCATTCACGTCGTTCATCCAACCATCAACAATGGAACTCGAATGAATAAAAAGGTAGAGTTATTGTCTCCGCATGATTACCTCCTCTCACTTGTTCCTCGAGATTTCTGATCTTTTTGATGAATGAAGAAATTAAAATAAACTCGAGGAAACAGTGACACCTGATGCTTTTTGACCCGTTCTCACTTCTCGTTTCACTTTTTTCTTCTCTCGTTTGCACAACACATCGTTTTGCATCTATATCTCCCTGCTCGCATCATTTCCTTTCTTCTTCTTTTTCTTATGTTTTTTTGTGCTCATCAGTATCATCATCGCCTGACTTTTCCGCCTCATCTTACTCAAGTTGCCCCCCTTTGCTCCTCTATTTCCATTTCTCTTCTTTCTTCTTCGCCTTCTCGAATGTCGGTGACGGCGACGAAGAGCTATTACTTCGGCGGGTCTTGAAACTTCTTCTTCTTCAATTTCTTATTTTATTCCTCCTATTCCTTTTTTTTCTGCCGCATGTTAAATGTGAAGGAAGTCGACGAGAATGGTTCAAGTGAAGACCAAACAGAAGAAGAGGATCATGAGAACATAGAATCACCGGTACCTTTGTACTTTCTGATTTTCTGTGTCTCAGGGATTTCAAAATGGTTATACGCTTTACTAACACTTCGATTCCTTTCGAACAATCCCCATCTCATTTTTTATATCGATTCCTGATTTTTGTATTCCAAAATAAAAAAATATGTGCCTCATCATCTAGTTGAGTTCAGGGGTTTTTTGTCTGGGAATACACTCCTACGTTGTCAAAAATGATGTTTTGCAGGAATCGTCTGCTTCGGAAACAGAAATCGACATCGGAGATGTTCGAAAATGTGGTGAAAAAGCAGACCGACAACAGTTTGAACTTCTCAAAGTCCTTGGACAAGGATCGTTTGGAAAGGTGATTTCGAGTACCATAGTTTGTATTCAAAACTGTATTTCAGGTCTTCTTGGTTCGAAAAGTTCGTGGTCGAGACTCGGGGCACGTGTATGCGATGAAGGTGTTGAAGAAAGCAACTTTGAAGATTCGAGATCGACAAAGAACGAAACTGGAAAGGAACATTCTTGCTCATATTTCCCATCCATTCATCGTTAAACTTCACTATGCGTTCCAGACAGAAGGAAAACTGTATCTGATTCTGGACTTTCTCCGTGGGGGAGATCTATTCACACGCCTCTCCAAAGAAGTGATGTTCACGGAAGATGATGTGAAGTTTTATCTGGCAGAGCTCACGCTTGCTCTCGAACATCTTCACAGCTTAGGAATTGTGTACAGAGACCTGAAACCGGAGAATATACTTCTTGATGCGGATGGTCATATCAAAGTTACTGACTTCGGATTAAGCAAGGAAGCAATTGATAGCGAGAAGAAGACTTACAGTTTTTGTGGCACAGTAGAATACATGGCTCCAGAAGTTATCAATCGACGAGGGCATTCGATGGCTGCTGATTTCTGGTCGTTAGGTGTTTTGATGGTACGACCCTCTAGTCATTTTTATTTGAAACACTGTAAAATCCTTCTTACAGTTCGAGATGCTGACTGGACACTTACCATTCCAAGGACGAGATAGAAACGATACTATGAATCAAATCCTCAAGTTTGTTTGAATTATTTCGACACGACTGAAAATTAACGATTTGCAGAGCAAAACTCTCGATGCCACATTTCTTGACTCAAGAAGCGCAATCACTGCTTCGTGCTCTTTTCAAACGGAATTCCCATAATCGTCTGGGTGCTGGACCAGACGGCGTTGAAGAGATCAAGCGTCACGCATTCTTCGCTAAAATAGACTTTGTGAAATTGCTAAACAAAGAAATCGATCCTCCATTCAAGCCGGCACTCTCTACTGTCGACAGTACATCGTATTTTGATCCAGAGTTTACGAAAAGGACTCCAAAAGATTCTCCTGCTCTTCCAGCCTCCGCCAATGGGCACGAAATTTTCCGAGGATTTTCATTTGTGTCCAATGCAGTTATAGAAGAAAGGAAATTGATTCAAAAGTCGATAAGATCCGTGCCAACTGCCAAAACACATCCCTTCACTGATGATTATGAGATTCTCGAGGTTTTGATGATTTCTAATATTTTTATAAGACCCGTAAATTTTCAGAAAATTGGCAATGGTGCTCATTCAGTCGTCCACAAGTGTCAAATGAAAGCTACACCGCGAAGATATGCTGTTAAGATTGTGAAGAAAGCAGTTTTCGACGCCACCGAAGAAGTCGATATTCTTCTACGACATTCCCATCAGCAATTCATCGTCAAACTATTCGACGTCTATGAGGATGAAACGGCGATCTACATGGTGGAAGAGCTTTGCGAAGGTGGAGAGCTTCTAGACAGGCTGGTCAACAAAAGAGCATTGGGCAGTGAAAAAGAAGTGGCTTCTTTGATGTCGAATCTTCTTTACGCTGTTCAGTATCTCCATTCCCAGCAAGTTGCCCATCGCGATTTGACTGCTGCAAACATTCTTTTCGCCTCAAAAGATGGTGATCCGAACTCATTGCGAATCGTTGATTTCGGGTTCGCAAAACAATCGAGAGCTGAAAACGGAATGCTGATGACTCCTTGCTATACTGCTCAATTTGTAAGTGCCTACTTCATTCGCTTTAGCTGACAAGATATTCTTTCAGGTTGCTCCAGAAGTACTTCGCAAGCAAGGATATGATCGTTCGTGTGATGTATGGTCCCTTGGCGTTCTTCTTCATACGATGCTAACTGGTTTCACTCCATTCGCGATGGGTCCAAACGATACTCCTGATCAGATACTGCAACGTGTTGGAGACGGAAAAATTACAATGACTCAGCCAGTGTGGGATACAATTTCAGAAGATGCGAAAGATCTGGTCAAAAAGATGCTGGATGTGGACCCGAATAGACGAGTTACTGCAAAACAGGCTCTTCAACATAAGTGGTTCGGACGGAAAGAGTCTCTTCCAGATCGGCCGATTCAGGAGAACGGAGAAAAATTAGATATGACTGATGTAAAGGTGAGATAATTGCTGATCTCTTTTTCGGATTTTTAAAATCTCAAAACTAGTTTCAGACTGCTCTTGATCAAACTTACAAGGCGATTTCGTCGGCGCCAAGTGTTACTCTTCGTCCCGTCGGTTCATCTGCCCTTGCAAAACGAAGAATGAAAGATATTCTATACGCTAATTATACCAAGAAGAATGTGTCAGCAAATGCATGGTAGGCTCATCTCTATGGATCTATTTTCTATTTTTGTGAAGCTTCAGAACGAGTTGGACAATATCGCCGACTGTCTCGCCCGTCACGAAGATGGTTTGCCGTCCAGGATTTTAAATATATTGTATATTCAACTCTTCTCTCTTTCACTCATTAACAATTACTAACTCTATTTTAATATCCTATCAAATGCTCCATATTGAAGCTTTTATTGCATTTATTGTCTCTCAACTCTTAGCTATTTATTGACATCTAATCAATTCAACCCTATTCCCACAAAACATTACTAACACCCTCCCATAGAACCTCTATCGCCTGGAATTGTGATTATACAGTTGCGCATCCAAAAGGAAATACAACCAATTTACGGGGATTTTCAGCATTGATTGTTTTCTCTATTCACACATTGTTTCTCTTCACTGTTTCTCTTCATGTTGAGAACTTTTTTGTGAATGTTTTAATTTTTATTGCACCATCAAACTATTGTGTCTTTTTAAATTGAAAAATCGATAAATTGTACAATTGATACTGCAGATTTTCATTGAAACCTATTTTAGATAAGACAATTATCTTTTCCATTTTTAGTTCTCTTTTGTCAAGACTTCGAAAAAAGTCATTCTTATTTTTTCTAGAAATGACAACTAAAATTTCCGTCGAAGAAATGGAGGCGGCTCGTAATCGAACGTCTTCACTAATTCATAATACACCAATTATGAAAAGTGACAAAATTAATGATAAGGTTGGAGCAAAGGTGCTGTTCAAATGTGAACATCTTCAAAAAACAGGGAGTTTCAAAGCTCGCGGAGCACTCAATTCTGCTATTTTGGCAAAGGAACAGAATGCAAAAGGAGTGGTTGGTTTTCATTTTTGTATGGACATCTGGCCAGAATTCTGTTAAAAATAAGAACTGCGAAAGAAAAACGCCGGTGGCCAAGGTCCTACACCGACAACTACAGTAATCTAATATTTATATTTTTAGGATTTTCGTTAATTTTCAGTTATTTTTCCCCAGAAAAATCGGAAAATCAGACTTTTGATAGTGAAAAAAATTGACTGAAAACATACGGAAATCGAGAAAAAACTCTGAAAAAGAATTTTCAGGTCACGGTAGTTGTCGTTATGGGACCTTTTTTTCAACCAGAATAATACTCTACTGAATCTGTTCCCGAGGACTTTTCAAAACAGAAAAAAAATGACTTCATTTCTTCACCATTTATTCCCCAAGAAAGTGTTTCCAGATTGCTCATTCTTCTGGGAACCATGGTCAAGCTCTTGCTTGGGCCGCCCAAAAAATTGGACTACCATGTACTATAGTTGTTCCAAAAAATGCACCAAATTCGAAGGTTGAAGGAATGAAAGAATACAATGCCGACGTTGTGTTTTGTGAACCAACAATGAGTAGTAGGTTAGTTCCAATCATCAAACCACAAACATTCTGGATGTTTCAGAGAAATAACATGCGCCGAGATGGCTGAGAAATTAGGCTACTATTATGTGGACCCACATAATTGTGTTACAATGATTAATGGACATGCAAGTGCATCTTGATTACAGCTTTTAAAATTATTGTATTCAGGGATCCATCGTTTTTGAAGTTTTGGAACAGGCAGGAGATGAAATAGATTCAATCTTTTTGTCAGTTGGAGGTGGTGGATTTGCGGCTTCTGTCGCTTTTCTTATTGGAAATTTGAATCCAGACATTGCAGGTGTTATTTCAAATATGTCTTTAAATAAGTTCTCGTATTTCCAGTGTACCTCGTTGAACCTGAAGAGAAAAACCTTGCAAATCTTTTGGAAAATGGAGTTCAGTGTGCCAGTGAAACTCTGAACACAATTGCAGATGGTGTTCGAGTATCTCATGTTGGATCCCTATGTGAGCCCATTCTCAAGAAATACTGTACTCGTACTGTTGTCAGTGTGGTAAGTTATCATCAAAATTATGAGTATCTCATTGAATCCATTACAGAAGGAAGAGGAAATCAAAGAGGCTTTGAATTTGATTTGGACTAGAACAAAGGTAAGAAAACTTCAGCAGTTGAACAACTAATAGTGAATTTATAGCAACGCATCGAGCCAACTGCTGCTCTTGCATTCGCTGGAGTTCTCTATCACAAACCAGACCATGTCAAGAAGCCATTAGTCATTTTATGCGGAGGAAATGTTGATACCGACTATGTGATCAATTGAAAATGTTAATTATGTTTTTCAAATGAATCGATGTTGATTAAAAATAAAAACCATAAAATGCACATCTGTTGATCTATGACCCAACCAGAAAAAAAAACAAAAACATTTTGTATAAGAGTGCATTCAGAAACAACCATTGACAGTTTGATTTATGTGTAGAATGTTTTCCAGCGGTTTCGTTTTGTTTTCAAAGTCATTTCGGCATTTTCAGTAACTGGAAAACACGACGCCTACACCTAATTAACATATCCCGCATGTTCTGCGTCTATCCTCTCTTCATACTGTTTTCTCGTGGTTAGGGCCAGTCTATAATCATCGGTCAGTCCTGTTCACACAGGTTGACAAAAAAGATGGCGAAGGCGTAATTGATAAGATTATCTTCGGAAATCACAATTTTCATTTTTCTCAACGACATATTTTCCCATTAAAAAGTTATTTTATGCACCTGAAAAAATTAAAATTTATGTTCTGGAACTATTGATGTTTATGCTGGTCATGATCCCTATTAAAAAAATTCCAGTTATAATTGTCTCCTTGATTTCGTATCTAATTGTCACTGCAGGTCTAGATCTTTGTAACCCGTTCTTTTTCTTCTCTCTTGTCTTTTCCCAATCAGTATCATGTGTAGTAAAATAGATTTTTAAAGGTCGAATTCATTTATGTGAGATCGAACAACATCAGAAAAAATGATGAGCGAGCTTGACGAAGATGATGAAGTAAGTTGATTTCATAGAAAATTTGTTGGCTAGTTATTAAAATTCTAATGTCATATAAATTGAGAAAAAAGTTCTCTTGAAGATTTTTTTCAGCTCAGTTCTGAATTTTTACGAAAGTGGTGACTTTCTATGCGGGACCATCGCTAATACAGTATTACAAATACGGTGGTAACCATTCAAATTTATCCCTTTTCACTGAAATTTTGAGGCTTTCTGATTTTTATTCTTGCTTGAAACTTCTTTTTTAACACTCCACTTTTAATAGCCCAGTCCGTCGCATTTTTTTCAATGCCCAAACGACCTTTATCCTGCTTCACCTGTTTCTCAAAAGAACCTGCTTAGTCATTTTTGTTCGTTTCCTTTCTTTTCGGAAAGTTTGAGCGATTTCTTTGCTTTTTATGTCTTTAGGTACATGTGTCACACCTTTTCAGGTAAAAATGTGCGAAAAGAACAATCCAGTTTTATTGTTTTATTTAAAATCCGAAAAATACCATAATCTCATTTGAATACGTGCCGAGTTGCGTGCCGAGAACCAAAAATGGAAAAATAAGCCTAAAACTCCAGCAAGCAAAAAGACCTCGTTCCTCATTCAGTGCATAGCGACCGACTCATAATTAGAAGATAGATCAAACGTAGAAGCGAGGGGCACACAGCTGTCATTACGCTCCTCGTCTACCAATGACTAGTTGTCCAGATGTGATTCCGCGAGGTCACTCTTCCTAGACATTGAAAAATTCCGAGGACACTTCGGATAACATTGAAATCTTCAGAATTTTATTCTTTCAAAAGGGATATGTCCATTTTTTGATCTTTTGGCTATCGAATCGACACATCATTTTTTTTAGCTTCTATTTTGCATTTTTTTTTATTATTTGCCACCATCCGTTTCCACAAAAAATGCATTTCATTAGCTTTCGGTCTTTTTTAGAATATTGATAGATAAAAAAGAGAATTCAAGATGATTCTCTAAAATTGGGTTTTTGCGAGGATTGATGAGTTTTTGAGCTTTTTCATCCCCTCTCGACCTTTATTTTGTTTGTATTTTTGAATAAAACAAACAAGTCTTCGTTTAACTCTCCCACACATTTCCCCTGCAACGTTTTCCTCTGCGTCTCGAATGCTCTTCACACTCTCAACTGCTTTTCGAGTGTTTTCATGTGTCGAATTCCCATCGTTTACAGTTTAGTTGGAAATTTCAGTTTTTCCCGCTTTACTGAAAGTGTATTTGTTGCCCAACACTGGGGTGTTCGGATTGCCTTTTCGAAATTTTTTGGAACGTCGAAAGTTCCGGAATATTCCGAATTTAAAAGTTTCGGAATCCCATTTTCCCATCACAAAGACGCAAAAATTGACAAACATTTTTCAAAAACGCAAAAAATACCAGGAGTATTTCCGCTCGAGACCCGCAAGGAAACTTTCGCGTGCGCCTTTAAGATATCGTAGTCCCACTATTCCGAAAAAGCTTCGGAAATTTTCCGTCACAAAAACTCTTTTCTCTGAATATATTTTTTCTTCTAGACCAAATTTTATCTGAAAATATTTTTGTTGTTTTCAATTTTTCAATGATAAAAATGGAAAATCAAATCGAATAATGACTGATAGCACATCATTGTCGCTTTAATTTCAAAGTGGAGACCTATATTGAAAGTTCCCTCTCTATTTCATTTTTCTCTCGTTTCAGCAATCCGCTTGCCAGGACGTCGATGAAATCGTCATATACGTGCCGGAATTCGCTGGATATAGAGAGGTATGCTTGCTTTTTTTTAGAATAGCTTATTTGAATATCAATTGCAAATTCAGGTAAACATAGACACAGCTATATCTCTATGCCCCACACCACCCTTGGTTAGAAAAGAATCGTAAGTTGTTTTTATTGCTGTTATAAAAGTATTGCAAAAAATTCGATGTAGAAAAAAAAACGGAAGATTCTGACAAAATTTTTATAATCGAAAATTTTATTGCACAAGATTTTGTAGAATCCATCTTCAATTCTTTTTTTGTTTTCGCAATAAAATATATTCTATATTGAAAACTAAATTTATGAAGTAAACAATACTTTTCCTCTATTCTTCGCACCTGCCAATGAACTTTTTTATTAAATTTATGGCTTCAGTGAAGAACTCTTGAAGCACTCTTGTAGCTTAAAATAGATTTATTTTCGACGAAAGAATCATTGACAGGAAGCTGAGATCTTGAATGATTCAAATATCTTTAATTATTCCTATTGTGACATTTTGTGTTCTCACAAAATCACACCTTCTCTTCTATTTCTCTATTCCTATCTCCTCTACATACAGATTTTTTCTTCATTTTCCTAAAACAAGATTCCATCATTCATGTCTACAAAATGTACAGCTGAATTTAGAATATAGAAAAAAATTTAAATTAAATTTTTATGAGATTTTAAAAGCTTCAAAATAATTACAGACCCAACCGGAACCTGGAGATGCGGCGTCGATTCGAGAAGCTTCGTCGCGAGAAGAAGGAGGAGAAAAAGTTGTTGGGTGATGATGAAAAGGAGTTTAATGAAGAAGATGACGTGTTTGACGAAGGAGAAGGACTTCAGGTAAAATTATGTTTTCAAAAAGCTGTGTTTTGATTTGCTTAGATTTTGTGGATAGTTTAGAAAAAATTAGATGTTCAATTTGTTCAGAAATCATAAAAAAATAGTTATTGTTCTGGTAGAAAAAATCGAAGCTGTGAAAGAGGAAAGTCGGTGGCTGTGGTTGAAGATCCCACATAGAAAACTACCGTAACCTAAAAATATTGTCATTTTCCGAACTCATTTTCTTGATTTTCTTGCGTTTTCAGACAATTATTTCAGTAACAAAGATGTTTGTTATCGATTTTTCTGGGGTAAATAACAGAAAAACTGTCGAAAATCAGTGAAAAACGAGATAATAAATCCGGGAAATGAAACTATTTTTCAGCTTACGGTAGTTTTCGGTGTGGGGCCTTCGGCCACCGCCAATTCCTCTTCTATATCTCCGATTTTTTTGTATCAGAATAATAATTGATCTAATCAAATCGTTTGCCATGATTTCAAAATTTAATTTTAGTTCCTCATAAAAATGCGGGGAGGGAAAATGACGATACTACTGTTTGCCTATATCATTAATCTTTCCGAGCATTTGGATTACTGTAGTCTCTGATAGTTCTCTTTGTGTAATGAGAACAGTTTGTACTCGATCACTGGCATTGATCTTCTCATTTAACTATTTTATTAGGCACCCGACTAGCACTCACTTCCCCAATTTTCAACGAAATTTCATAAGTTTCACTAATCATGCCGCATCCGAAATTGAATTATCGACGAAGAAAATTGAGACTTGAATGGCGACAAGTAAGTGACAATTTCATCCAGAAATGTTATGAAACGTTCAAGTTTCATTATATTTCGACGAGAGAAAACATCTAGGAATATCATATCCTTGTTTCCTGTTCGAAATTTAGTGGATCAAAGAGCATATGGGGACCCCCATGATCCGAAAATAAGTAACATACGCTCACAACAACAATCACTAGGTGTTAAAGTTCAAAATTCTGTTTCAAATATTATTTAATTGAGTGATCCTAGTGAGTTCAAAACAGTCTATTTTAGGTGTTCAATAATTGTCTAGTTAGAGAGAAAATATTGGCAGAGTCAACACTAAAGTAGTCGAACAAGAAGTAATATTTTCTCTCATGTGAGCGTTAATATTTACAATACTTACCGACCTGTTTAAAACCTAAAACCTATAGGAATCAAAAATCCAAAGATCAAACTCTGTCTATGACTCTTTCTCCCCGTCTCTAACAACGTTCCCTTGATTCTTAAATCTTTTCTACTGATGAACACCTGTTCAATCGGCAAGTCAGTTTCAATGTGCCTTCGCAGTGTATGACGAGCAAGAAAAAACAGCTATGGAACTCTATTTATTATCACTTATTTCTCCCCTAAACTCTAATGGCAAATGAGCAAATATTTGCAAAATTGGCAATCATGTCTTCTCGTTTTCTGAATCTCGGCACATTTGTGAGTAAGTCTTTGGGCTGATTTTGACCCCTTTGAGAGAGAAAATATGGTGTGTTGACAGACAGACAGTGTCAACTCCGCCCCTTTCATAGTTTTATTGCCCCAATACCCACTCCGATTGATAAGCAAACATTTTTGAGTTGTATCTCTACAGTCACCATATATTTTCATTTGATTGATTCCTCTTCTGCGAAAAAACGAAATTCTTGTCTCTGTTAGAAAATATTGATGGTCGTTTCAAAGAATTCTAAAAATTCCCAATATTCCGGAGTCGATGTGAAAAGGTATTTTTAAATCAGAAATTCAAATGTGTAGCTTTGGGAAATTTCGAAAAAACTGTGTAGGAAGATAAAATGGTATCTGAACGAATATTGAAAATTCATGTTTTCCAGATGCGAACATTCGATCCGAAAGCATCGATTCGAGAGGGCGATGAATCGATGCCCAGTCTTCTGCCACGCACAGCACCGATAAAGAAGACGAGAAAGCATCGAAGAAGGCGTAGTGGTGAGTAAATGTTGGAAAATTTATAATCTAGGAGGCCACCCTACAGTTGCACTTTGAGCTAAATTATCTCAATTTCTAAAAGAGATGGCAAAAATCTCTCAACTGATAAAATAATTGTCATAATATCATCAACATTTATCAGTTAACAGATTTCAGTCATCTCTTACAGTAATTGAGATAACTGAGCTCAAAGTGCAAGTAGAGGGTAGCATTGTATTAGAGTGTTTATAGTATATTTGAAGGTGAAAAAGCTATATTTCTAAAAAGATTAAAATTTGCAGGGAGCTTCACAGGAGGTGTCTATCCGAGGAAAGGCCATCGAAACAGGAGTCTTCTTGGTTATGCCATACCACCACCCAATATCCATTCGAATGATTGGAGGGACATGTTGGCTATCACTGATAACAAAGACGATAAGCTGATGAAAACGGTGAGAGCATAGTTCAAATATGCAAAAAGTTCAATGTACAAAAGGGGGAAATTTTGAGAAATGAACAGGTAGTTGTTTTGTCGTTCAATCAAAGATTCTAGATGGAAGCCATCAAAGAAGCAATCAGAAAACAAGAGGAAGCTGAAATGAAACTTCTCGGTCAGAGAAAGGTCAGAGAAAGTTGTTGTGTGCTTTCTGTGAAGATCATCACTCACAGCTTACTGCCTTTTTTTTGTAGTATTCACAAAGTACATTATTATTCACACCTTTCTTACTTGATTTTTTAGTTATTCACTTATAGTTTTGTTTGATTTCATACTTGCAAAAAATACAATAGAATTTTAAATTCGATCACATTACATTTCAAAGAAAGTCGTACTTTTGTGCGGTTCAAATAAGTATTCAAAAACTGTTTGTTTGTGGCTACATTAACTAGTTCCTTTTGAGATTCTTGATAACTTCCGCAAAATGTTTTGCTATGAATTTTTCAAAATTAAAATCTAATTCCTTTCACAGGAAAACGGAACGTCTCTCTCTCTCTCTGTATTTGTAAAATAGCTCACTTCTTTCTTAAATGAGCAACAACAGCCAGCAGCTCATTTCTGTTGATTCAGCGTGAGCTGATTATCACTGATTACCCGAAAGGGTCTCCTTTTCTTTTTCGCACTGTGCTGTTGGTGTTTTGTATATCGTGGTGTTTTCCGTTTTCTCCCGTTCACATTCGAATATTTTTCCTGATTGAGAAACTCGGCCCCAATTTGTCATTTGCCTATTCTATCCAATTTATGAAAATTACGAAGGTAAATACAGTTAATCCCCCTTGGGGGATTTAATTTTTGAAAATTTGTCAGTTCAAAAGAGTGAGGGTTGCCCATATTATTGGTATTTTAATTCGTCATAGTTTGTAACTAAACTTTTTGATTCGCTCAGGTTTTTGCTAAAAAAATTCAACATCAAGAAATTAAACCTGAATTCAAATGGTAAGTTTAATGTAGTTTTTCTTATAATTTCCAACTCACACCCTTACTTCTTTCATTTCAAAAGATTGTCATCTGAAACACACTCGGTCAATGAAAAGGGTACAGTATTGAGAGACGGTCATTCTCGCACAATTCTCGAAGAGTGAATTCGAATTCGATTGAGAAAGAGAGGAAGTGTAATAAGAAGAAAAAGTGAAGCGAATTGTTTTTGTAAGAGAGACATATTCTCAGCGACCTCTTCTTATGTTGTCTTTTCTCAAGAAAGAGGCTGCTGCTGGTTGGTGCTAAATGATGACCGAAAAGAGATTTTAATCTTCTTCCAAAATAGTAGAAAGGGATTTTTCCGTTTTCATTTAATTTGGCGAGAGGGCTTTGGAGATTTCGAGAATATGACCTCCTGTTCGAGTATTAGTTTTTTGTGAACTATTCTTGACCACTCACTGATCTGAGGATTACTAGTTGTAGTCAAATTTGATAACAATGAGAATTCTATGTTTCTGTAGGCAATTGTATGTGGGCAACCATCAGGAACAGATTATCTTTTCTTCAGCATTTCATCGTTTTCGAAATCGAAATAGTGTCACTTTTCCCAAAATTGAATACAATTTCTATATTTCTAGAAAACGAACTTACCGTAAAACATGCAATAGAAGGGCTTCCTATCCTTCAACTTTGAGCCAAATTATTTCAGTTCTTGTAAAAGATATGAAAAAGTTTTCAATTAATACATTGTTAATCATAATATCACAAACTTTTCATCAGTTGAAACTGTTTTGATATCTCTTATAGGAGCTGAGATAATTGAGCTCGAACTTGATAGTGATAAATACAATACAATACAATAAAATAGTGTGGGGGTCCTTCTATTACAGGTTTTACGGTAAAACTATTTTTGCTTACTCCGATTAACAACGGCTCCCGTTTCGCAACCGGACATTTCGCAGCCAGACATTTCGCAGCCAGACATTTCGCAGCCGGACATTTCGCAGCCTCTGATAACGTCAGAAAATCAGAATTCCAAGTTCTTCGGTTTTGAAAAAAAGTGTATTTTAATGTCAGAAATTGAATTTTCGAAGAATTCGGCTGAAAAAATCAAATTTCAGCTGAAAAAATAGCAAGCAAGTATTCAATCAATTGAAAAATGCTAAATCTTCATTGTTATTCAGAATTTCTTTTCGAAATATACGATTTTAGAAAGTTGGAATTCCAGAAGAAAAAAAAAAGAAATTCTAAAAAACA